AATCCTTTTTTTATTTCATATTTTAATAATAATCGTGCCTTAATTTTTTTTGTGAATCTAACCCAAAAAATCTTGTCGCGCCATTGCTATTGGCACGATAGTATTATTTTGTCGCGTCACTGGGAGTGGCGTGACAAGGCTCAAAATTAGAAAAATCACAACTTTTTGATACGATGTCGGATAAAGATATTTTTATATGAAAATTGTAGATCTCAACGAGATCTACGACTTTTTAGTTTTGAGTTTTTCCATTTGAGGACGTTAAAAATGCTCAAAAATATATAAAATTTTAGTTGCATAATAATCGTGTACTATTGCTCGTCGCATTAGAAAAATAGTATATTTTTGTACGGTGTCAAATAAAGATATTTTTTACACAAAAGTTATAGCTCTCAATAAAATCTACAATTTTATAGTTTTAAGTTTTTACATTTGAGTTCGTTAAGATGCTCGAGAAAATAATATAAAATTTCAGCCCGGGTATACTGCTTAAATTTTATATTTATTTTTTTGAGCATCTTAATTACCTCAAATGTAAAAACTCAAAACTATAAAGTTATAGATCTCATTGAGAGCTACAACTTTGATATAAAAAGTATCTTTATTTAACACCATACAAAGAAGATACTATTTTTCTAATGCGACAAGCGATAACACGTGATTATTATGGTGCTGAAATTTTATATAATTTTTTTGAGCATCTTAACATTCTCAACTGGAAAAACTTAAAACTAGAAAGTTGTAGATCTCGTCGAGATCTACAATTTTTATATGAAAATCATCTTCATCCAACGTTGTATCAAAGAGTTATGATTTTTTTAAGTTTGAGACTTGTCACGCCACTCTCGGTGTGATGCGACAAGGTTATCCACGTCAAAAACGTTGTCTAACGTGGCAGGTGTTATCGCTCAATACATGTGGCGTGACAACGTTATTTGGTCACGCCAGCGGCACCGGACTAGAAATGTTAGGTGATTATTATTAAAATATTAAGTAAAAAAGATTAAAAATATAAAAAGGTTCCCTGTCGCTGCAGGCATGCAGAAAGGGGTAATTTATTCGCTTCCAGACACGCGGACCGGTCTGCTTGCTTCTGGGAGGGAGACCACCATCCTTCCTGGGCCAACGCCGATGACGACTGCTGCCGATCGTCAAACCTGCTCGGCCTCGATCGACGGCTCGACGCCGCCGTAAGACAGAAGACCAGAGGTCGTCGTCGTCGTCGTCGTCGTCGTCGGCCTGCTCTCCAGGACGAGGACGCACCTCAGACACCTCACATGGACGTGATTCATGAGGCTCCCGGCAAAAGCCTGACCTGCAATGAATTGCACAATTGGCCGCTGTACCTGTACGTGTTTCTAGTACTATACAGTACGTAGAGGCCGATGAGTTGAATTGGACTGGTGCACTGCACTGCTGCTGCCATGTCGTGGGGGTACCACTCGTACAATGCAACGTACCCTAGCTTGGAATGGTGCCGCTCCTACCACATACCATGGCCTGTTAACTCATGTGCTGTTTAAATTCAGGAAGTAAAGTTTAGGGATGTCATATTGGATGTCACATCGAGAGATTACATGGGAGTGTTTGGATAGTAATAATAAAATAAATTATAGAAGTCCTTAGTAATCCGTGAGACGAATTTATTAAGCTTAATTAATCCGTTATTAGCATATGTTTACTGTTGCACCATTATCAAATCATGGACTAATTAGACTTAAAAAATTCGTCTCGCAAATTAGTCGCAATCTGTGCAACTAGTTATTTTTTAGTATATATTTAATACTTCATACATGTGTCAAACATCCGATGTGATAGGAAATAAACTTTAGAGAGAGGAACTGAACAAGGCTGCCAGGGCTACTGCCGGAGCAATTAGACTGTCTCCGATGGATGACCCGTATGGAGACCCAAACCCAAAATAGATCGTGGATGGTTCTGTATCAGTCTCCAATAGAATACCTATATGCGAGGCTCATTTTGGGTTATAACAGAGGAACAATCCAAATATGAGTATCCTCTCTCCTGAAGACTCATTTGCAGAAAGGGTTATTTTTTGGGTCCTGTTGCTGGAGAAGGCCAAAAATAAGTATTAACCCTTTAGCCAGTAGCGCTACCTAAATATGAAATATGTCTTGTATTTTGAATGATGTTATTGGAGATAGTCTTAGGGCACCTGCAACAAGGAGCGCCTAGCCCGCTCGCAGGGAGGACGAACGTCGTGCCATACTGCCATGTCTGCCATGGGTCACAGGTCTCGCACCAATATGGGCTCGTTCGGCTGCTCAGGAAACCAGCCGGAAAACATTGTTTACTGCTGAAAATACTGTTCACTCTCTCACAAATTCCTCCAGATTCATCTAGATTTCTCCAAATTCCTCCCCGCGTACAGGCCCTATATAGCATATATATTGGTGACAATGATGGTTCTATAGATTTTTTTTTTCAGGAAGCCTTACCTCTATCGTTGTTGCCTTGATGACAGGGACGGCCAATGCATGCTTGAGGCAGCAATGGCTCCAACAGACTTGAGCAGCATTATGACTATATATCTCTGCGATATTTTTAGGCAACAAGGAAATTGCATATCACTTAAAGATTCAACATATTAAATTTAAGAGATAGCTAATAAGAAATTGAATAATTTGTGAGGGACTTGGATATAGTTATTTTCTCGAGAAATAGAGCTCGCCAAGAGAAAACTCGAGGAATGGAGCCACGAATAGGGAAAAGGAAATAGAAGAGCGAGAAAACAATAATATCTATATAAAATTCATACCAATAAACATAGTGGGGTGCATGGAGAAATAAAGGATAATTCTAATCAAACAAATAAAAATACTTACAAAAGTATTTTCATGTAAAAAACATATGCTATAATGGGAAAAAATATTGCTATCTGAGTTTTTTTGCGTGGTACGCCACCTTGCTATTCTATTTTTTAAAAATATCCGGAACATAGCCGGCGTATATTAATAAGGAGAAGAGAGAATTACATGAGCCAGCCCCGCAAACGGCTCCCTAAATTTGGCAGATCACCAAGCTAGGCAAGGATATTAAAAGGACTACTCGCAATCTAGAGGTACAAAAATGAGCCACAACAACTTGGCTCCTAAACAGCAACGCAACCAACCTTTATCTTCTAACCCGTCAAAAAATCTGGCCACCGAGAACCTTGCTAGTCCATTAAGACTTAAGAGGTAGTTTCCCGACCAAATGATATTATAAGATTCAAAAATGTGTTTTTGTATACTATTTTAATCAAAATATCGAACACAATCCTCAATCTCTTCGAAAAAAGTTAACAATTTCCTTACTAATTAAAGACTTGAGTGAGGACTGAGGAGTGAGTTATGGAATGTACCACGCGGAGATCATATATATGATGAGGCAGCTTTAGCTAGGCCCTGAACTGGTGTATAAATTGTTGGTAGGCGCTCAACCGATCCACATTTGCTTTACCTATGCACATACACATATATATTCAGATTCAGAGAAGCTAAGCTTGTGCTGCACTACAGTGAATAAACCAGAGCAGGTAGTAACTGCAGACTGCAGTTAGTCTGCGGCGGCGGCAGCGCAGTAGCTATGACGGCAGACGGCGAAGAGAAATCAAAGTTCCGGTGGCTGGACGCGGCGCGCTACGCGGTGGCCGCCGCGGTGACCGTGCTCATCATGGTCGTCATCGTCAACGCCGTGAAGGTGGTCCTTCGCCCCGACTCGCTGCAACTCTCCGTCGACAAAGGCTCCATCTTCACGGCGCAGTATCCGCCACAGCTGACCATGGAGCTCAAGCTCCGGGCGCAGAACCCCAGCGGCCGGGTCCGGATGTACTACGTCGGCGTCACCGGGTACCTGTTCGACAACACGACGTCGGCGTCGGCGTCGTTGGATCCAGCATACGATTCCGTCGTCATCTTCAAACCGAAAGACATGGCCGTGGTCCAGCAGGAGGCACTGGACTGCAGCCTAGGCATGAAGGTGGTGAGGGAAAAGCAGATGGATCCGTCCCACTTCGACGTGCTGTACAATGGCAGCAGCTTCAGCGACATGACGCTGCGGCTGGACGGCGACCTCATCACCGAGGTGACGTCCGAGCTCAACATGACTCGCCGGACCACCTACTACTGCGAGGAGCTCCTCGTCGGCGGGAACGGGGACGACGAGGCTTTCAAGTACAGGCAGGATGCCATTTGCAAGCAGCGAAGGGCCTCGAATTAGACTGGCTAGGGGCATCATTTCGACCGTATAATGTTTCAACGTAGTATTATCTTGTATTCTGTTATAGATGTTGCTAGTATCTTTGGAGATTGCTTGGCTTGACCAGATACTGATGCTTTCGACGATCTCTATTCTATTCAGCTCCAGTATGTACTTGTTTCTGAAAATCGGCACTAAGACTAGAGTCAGTAAATTCCAATCGATACACTGCTACGTAAATGATTTTTAGAGACATCTCGTCTTTTCTTTTTCGAAGGCTTGTAGCCAATAGAAACGACGATCGCCCTAAAACTTGATTTATAAAGGTATTTTTTGTTACGAACCACCTCAAGAAATACCTTTGGTCGGTGTTACCAACCCCCATACAAGTGCCCCTAAAACTTGATTTTCAGGAGCATTTTATGTTACCAACCATCCCGAGAAATACAACAATTTCTCATCAAGTATTAGCGCTTTCAAAAAAATTTATAAAAGTACAAATTTCAGAATCCGAAAACTCGTAATGAATACGATTTCAAATCATTCACCTTTTTTCCCCAAAAAATCGTGACTCATGAGGCCACAAAACCAAGTCATTGGACATGGATGCATTGTCTGTTGTTCCCATGGCCTATATATACGTAGCTTGGAAACTACTATGGGAACTTGCAAAGCACGGTCGAGTAACAGAGCACACAGCCATGGTTGTAGTTTTGCCGCTATTACTAATCCTCTTGTTCGGTTACTGCCCCACTAGCCGTGCAGCTGGCGACGAACATGGCTTCATAGGCATCGTCGACATGCAGAGCTCACTGAAACCACAGTCCGCCGCCTGCTCCGGACACAGCGCCGGTACGTCCGGTCCGGCTGCAACATCTTCAATGAGAAACATAAATGATGCAGTATTTTGTTTGCTGACAATTACTATGTGTGTGTTAACAATGTTTGACGCACAATGAAATGACAGTGATCCCGCCACACAAAGGCACTTGGGTCCCGTTGTACCGCCATCTCGGGCCGTGCTCGCCGGCGGCGGCATCTACCTGCGCGGCGAAGGCGAGGCCACCGCCGTCATTGGCCGACCTGCTCCGCCAGGACCAGCTCCGCGTCGACCACATCCACAGGAGGCTGTCGTCGTCGTCCGAAGGCATCCGCGTGAGCAAGCAGGCCGGTCCCGTCAAGGAACCGGTGCGTTCCGAGGTGATCCACCTCCACGACCAGCCGGTTATCCAAGTCACAATCGGCTCCGAAAGGAAGACCTCCGCCGGCGGCGGCCAGCAAAGCCAGGCGGCGGGAGTTGTCCAGACGGTGGTGCTGGACACGGCCAGCGACGTGCCGTGGGTGCAGTGCCACCCCTCCGCGTCGGCGACGGACATCACCTCCTCCTCCTCCTACGACCCAGCTAGGTCGGCCACGTACACCGCCTTGGCGTGCAACTCCGCGGCCTGCGCGGAGCTTGGCCGCCTCTACCGCGGAGCCTGCGTCAACAACCACTGCCAGTACCGCGTCCCTATCCCCAGCTCCCCCTCCTTGTCGTCGTCGTCGGGCACGTACGGCTCCGACCTCCTCGCGCTCGCGGCCGACCCGCCAACGGCGCCTTATCCTTCAAGTTCGGGTGCAGCCACGCCGAGGCCAAGCAGGGCGAAGAAGGCAGCTTGGACAACGCAACCGCCGGAGTCATGGCGCTGGGCGGTGGCCCGGAGTCGCTGGTGTCCCAGACAGCGGCCACATACGGGAGCGCCTTCTCGTACTGCATCCCAGCGACGGAGAGCCGCCAGCCGGGGTTCTTCGTGCTCGGCGGCAGCGGTGACCCCTCCGCTGGCGCCGGGTATGTGGTGACGCCCTTGCTCAGGTACGCGCGGGTGCCCACGTTCTACCGCGTGCGCCTCCTGGCCATCGCCGTCGACGGGCAGCAGCTCAACGTGACCCCCTCGGTGTTCGCCGCCGGCTCCGTGCTGGACTCCCGGACGGCCATTACCCGGCTGCCGCCGACGGCGTACCAGACGCTGCGCGAGGCGTTCAGGAGCAGGATGGCCATGTACAGGGAGGCGCCTCCGCAGGGGAACCTCGACACCTGCTACGACTTCACCGGCGCCTTCTTAGTCATGGTGCCAAGGATCGCGCTGCTGTTCGATGGGAACGCCGTCGTGGCGCTGGACCGGCAGGGGATCCTGTTCCACGACTGCCTCGCGTTCACGTCTAACAGCGACGACCGCATGCCTGGGATACTTGGCAACGTGCAGCAACAGACGATGGAGGTGCTCTACAATGTCGGCGGCGGCTCCGTCGGCTTCCGCCGCGGCGCGTGCTGATGATGCCGGGCTCCTGGCTACCCCCGCTAGCACCCAAATAATCTACTGCAGTTTTCAGACTTGGCATTTGTTGTTTGGTTCATTATGTTGTGACAAGCGCTATCTTATTAGCAAATATCCTCGTGCGTTGCAAGTTGTAACGGTACATACGATTTGTGTTGTGCAGTGAACTAGATGTGCTCGTGCCAATTATAATGATGTAGCAACCTTTGTTGGATTAAATTGGGCTTGGCCCAACCCTTTTTTTACTAATCACATAAATTTCAAGACCTACAATAAGTGCCAGGTACAATAGAGGATTAAAATCCCATATAAAAAATTGACTCGAGATTAATTCACCTTAAATAGGTGGATATTATCTGCACCTGAGGTTAAAAAAACTATTGTAAAGCGATCCACGTACTCTCGGATTTGCAACTCAAAACTATAACGGATACCATGTTAGAAGACCAACCTCATCCACGCCATGCTAGAGGAGGATACAATCTGCCTCTACTAAACCATGGACTTCTGTCATGGGTGGGTGGGAGTGGAAAATGGAGCAGAAGTGGGGTGGGAGGAAGAGGGCCGCGCAGATGGACATGAGAGAGTGAATGGGCCAAGAGGAGCTGAAGGGAGAGACTAATGGGAAGGAGGAGAGAGTGATGGACCAAAAGAAGGTGGAATGAGTTTTAGCTCTTTACCTCCGCTACCACCGCCAAGCGGAGGTGGATAGTCACCCTTGAGCGAGAGGACTATGGACCGTGTCGAGCCAAGACCGGGAGCTAAGTAAATGTGGCGTGCCATGTAGATGAGGAGTGATGATGGAGCTAATAAGGCATGAAAAAGTGATGTGCCTTGCTTGTAGTATAAGGAGTAAGAATTAACGGCAAACTAAAGTTTTAGTACTGAAATGACCACTTTGATATATAGTTATGGATGAATGGGTCCAAAAGTGAAATTTGAGGATTGAAATGGCTAATTTGATAGTTTAGGATGAAGATGAAGCTGAACTCAAAAGTAAACTTTATGGCCAAAACGACCACTTTAGTAGTTTGGGGACGAAATTGAACATCACCTGATAATTAAGGATTTGAGGGATGAAAATAGTTATTCCGGAAAAAATTGTGTTGTTTATATGTTTGTGTTAAGTAGTGCAGTAAGTTTAAAAAAATGAAAAGCCTTCACATCATACTAGAGGAGGATACAATGTGCCTCTAATAGACCTGGACTTCTGTCGTGGGTGGCTTGGAGTGAAGGACAATAATGGAGTTGAAGTGCGGTGGGAGTAAGAGGACAGATGGACATAAGAGAGAGCGATGGGCCAGAGGGTCTGAAGTGAGAGATTATTAACGGACAGAGGAATAAGTTTTAGCTCTTTACCACCACCAAGCGGAGGTGGATAGTCACCCTTGAGCAAGAGGACTGTGGACCGTGTCGAGCTGGGAGCTAAATAAATGTGGCATGCATGCCATGTAGATGAGGAGTGGGGCTAGAGGTGATAATACATGAAAACGTGATGTGCCTTGTAGGATGAGTAAGAATTAACCCAAACCAAATGTTTCAGGACTGAAATGGCCACTTTGATTTATTTATTTTAAATAATGGAACAAGGCACCGGCCGCTACACCCCTGGAGGGATATACAAAGCCGTACAACACACCACCAAGCACTTAGGCTCACAAAACATCGAAAAAAATCAAGACACAATTACACAAAGAAACAGAAAACACCAAATAAACAGAATGAATGAGTCCAAGAGTAAAATTTGAGGATTGAAAATGGCTACTTTGGTAGTTTAGGATGAAGCAACTCAAACGTAAACTTTATGCCCAAAACAGCCACTTTAGTAGTTTAGGGATGAAATTGAGCATTACCCGATAAGTGAGGGATGAAAATAGTTATTCCAGGAAAAAAATTTGTACTGTTTATATGTTTGCGGAGTATTTTGTAAGTAGTGCAATAAGTTTAAAAACAATGAAAAGACTTCACAAGTTTTAGCGAATCTGCTTAGCAAGGAGAGCAGGGCACCGCATCTTTTTTGCTATGCTCCTTTTCGTGGCCATTGGCCTATATATACATTGCCGTTGCCAGGAAACCACATGGCAACTTGGAAGCAGTTTTCAGTAATAGTATAAGCGCAGATAGCAGCAAGATACACGGCCATGGCTGTTTTGCCAATATTGTTAGTACTCTTGTTGGGTTCTTCTCCAACTTCGTCCCGTGCAGCTGATGAAGAACTTGAGGTCACTGTCCTGGACGTGAGCTTGCTGGAACCGCATACCAGCTGCTCCGGACACAGGGGTACGTTCATCGTCCTACCGGTGCATATGACTGTGTAAAGTCAAGTGTAAATTAACATTGGTTGGCACACAATGACAGTGATGCCGCCCCACCCCCACAACAACAGCTGGATGCCACTATTTCGTCCTCTCGGCCCGTGCTCGCCGTCGTTCAAGGCTGCTGCAGCGGCGGCGAGGGCGAAGCCGTCGCTGGCCGCCGTGCTCCGGCAGGACCGGCTCCGCGTGCACCACATCCATAGAAGGGTGTCCGGCTCCCGCGGTGCCCGCGCGAGCAAGGGCTCCTTCAAGGAACCGGTGTCTGTCGAGGAAACCCAGCTCCACCACCAGGCCGCCATTTCCGTCGAGGTTGGCACGTCACAGACGAGCTCCGAGGTACGTTCGAACTGGTAGTTTGGTCTTTGTTTTTCAGTGATTTCTGTCATGCATTAATTCCTGTACATTATATATCAGCCTAGTAGCAGCATTCATCCGGCGGCCACCGACGGCAGCTCAAGCCCACCGGTGACGGTGGTGCTGGACACGGCCGGCGACGTGCCGTGGATGCGGTGCGTGCCCTGTACCTTCGCGCAGTGCGCCGACTACGACCCAACCAGGTCGAGCACCTACTTCGCCTTCCCCTGCAACTCCTCCGAGTGCAAGCAGCTCGGCCGCTACGCCAACGGCTGCAGCTCCAACGGGCAGTGCCAGTACATCGTCACGGGTGACTCGTTCACCACGTCGGGGACGTACAGCTCCGACGTGCTCACCATCAACTCCGGCAACCCAGTCCACGGCTTCCTGTTCGGCTGCAGCCAGAACGAGCAGGGCAGCTTCGAGAACCAGGCGGACGGGATCATGGCGCTCGGCCGCGGCGTGCAGTCGCTGATGGCCCAGACGTCGTCCACCTACGGCGACGCCTTCTCCTACTGCCTCCCGCCGACGGAGACCACCAAGGGCTTCTTCCAGATCGGCGTGCCGATCGGAGCGTCCTACAGGTTCGTGACGACGCCCATGCTGAAGGAGCGGGGGCCAGCGGCGACGCTGTACCGCGCGCTGCTGGTGGCCATCACCGTCGACGGGAAGGCGCTGAACGTGCCGCCGGAGGTGTTCGCGGCGGGGACGGTGATGGACTCCCGCACCATCATCACCCGCCTGCCCGTGACGGCGTACGGGGCGCTGCGCGCGGCGTTCAGGAACAGGATGAGGTACCGCGCCGCGCCTCCGCAGGAGGAGCTGGACACCTGCTACGACCTCACCGGCGTCCGCTACCCCAGGCTGCCGAGGATCGCGCTGGTGTTCGACGGGAACGCCGTCGTGGAGATGGACCGGTCCGGGATCCTGCTCCACGGCTGCCTCGCCTTCGCGTCCAACGACGACGACAGCTCGCCGTCGATCCTCGGCAACGTGCAGCAGCAGACGATCCAGGTGCTCCATGACGTCGGCGGCGGGAGGATAGGGTTCCGCAGCGCCGCCTGCTGAGTGCTTGCTGCTGACCGATAGGAATCTTAGCTTGGTTCTTTTTGCATGTTGTGCACGCCTATGCACAAAACTGAGTATGTTCTGTTAGTGCCAGTGGACCTTGTGTAATACGTATTGTTAGGCAATGGAAATTTTATTTCGTCAAGCACAGAGAGAGTGTCGGAACCATGTTGTGAATTCATTGTGATCGCTCCGGTGGCGGGTATTCCTGATGAAGCCAACATGGTTTAATTTGGTTGCATCATCGTGCGTGCTCCGGTGGCGTTCTAATGATGGATTGCTTCAATTTCTTGGGCACTAGCTCTGTTCTCATTTCTCAACACCAAGGACAGTGTGCAATAGAATGGCAATCCGACAAAGAGGACACGAAGGCCGCGTTCGGATGGCCGGATATCGTTGCAATCCGAAGAAATTAACGCTGTCAAACGCATTAACCGTGAATTGTTTTTACGTCGGAATGCATAACCCAAGGGGGTTTCGCGAGTGGTGTGGGAGTATATATTTGTGTAGTGTGTTAGAAAACAAACAAATGTGAGAACAAATATAAGCGATTTTGATTGGACCTAGCTCAAAATTTGTACATAATTAACAGCACCACTAGCACCACGGACGTCCGGACGCCCGCAGCTGCTCCGACCCGTCCGCTCGGATTCACGCGCCGCTCGCGCAAGCTCCATTTCCCGCGCTCGCATCTGAACCGTCCACTTCAGATCCGCTGTCCACGCTGCTCGGATAACTCGCCCCCCGCATCTTCCACACCGGCACGGCGCCCCATCTCTTACAGGCCACCCGAAAGACTCGCCCCCGCCTCTTCCACAACAGCACCGCGTGGCCTGTGCCTCATTCCCACACCGCCGGTAGCGGCCTTTGCCTCCTCTATGCGTCGGTGGCTGCGGCTTGGCCCGGCCCGCCCTCATGGACACCAACGCCGGCGGTCTGCACTTGCAACATAAAACACTCGAATGCAACATACATTTGAAACAGATGAATCATTTGGGACATACACTTGCCACATGTGTGTGAAACATATGCAATATCTAGATAAAACAATTGTAACATAAAAAAACACTTACTGCAACATAAGACCGAAACAGCTGAAACATTTAGAACATACTATTGCAACATATGTCTGAAAACATATACAACATCCACATAAAAATCGATTGCAACATACGTCTGGAAACAGATCAAACATTTTGAACAAACGTTTGCAACATGCTTCTAAAACACTTGCAACATATACAACATGTGCAACATCCC